AACTTAAGTACTACATGTTCAACTAAATTTGTCCAGCAAAATTATCGGTGTGGAAGACCCACCCTGGGAGGTTTATTGCCAGAGTATTATTTAAAAAATGAAAAGGGAAGGCTTGCTTCTGTTTCTTTGCAGGAGTGTTGGTATTTATCATCACCTTGGAAGGCATCTTGGCTTCTGGCACAGACTCTTCAGCCTCCAGTGCAGACCATTTAGTCTTCTGGCACAGACTGTTTGGTCTCCTGGTACAGACATGTACGTTATAATAGAGTGGGTTTTAGGCCTTCAACAGGAGTTTTTTGATATCCTGTGCCAAGACAGATATTTTGCACACTCCCATATTTAATTGTATAGGTGGCCACTGGAAGCCAATTTTGTAAATTCTTATACATGTGTATATCTTGCACTAAATCTGTTTCTCTAGTAAGCACTGGCTAATACATTACTACAATTCATGATACACTTTTACATCATGGTCCATCTGATCTGTCACAATCAAAAATGGCAATGTGGTTTATTTTTTGGTACAAGAATTGGTAAAATTAACACAAAATTTGAAGTCATCCAGACATAAGCATAGAAAGTAAAATGCTGATAAGAAAAAAAATTTTATGTAAATCATAATATTGAGAATGACATGAAAGCAAAATAGATAAAATTATGTACTTGATATAACATCATTATGTTGGAATATCCAGGTACCTTTTCAGGATATAAAAAATAAAGCATTTACTAATCTATAAATTGTGCAAAAACAACTGGCCTTTTCAAAAACTCATCTTCACATGTCTCTAAATATGCATAAACATGTGTACATCAAATTAAAAATTGTCAAAGCCAGACGTGGTGGTGCATGCCTGTAATCCCAGCACTTGGGAGACTGCAGCAAGAGGATCGTTGCAAATTTGAGACCAGCCTGGGCTGCAAAGTGAGCTCAGGGCCAGCCTGAACTGCATAGCAAGACCCTGTCTCATAAAAAAAAAAATTATCTTTTTAACCACAGAATATTAAATATATACACCAAGAAAATTAAAATCAAATCTAGTGGGAAATCTCATCAATTAAAAAACAATTAATAAATTTTATTTTTTAGTGGCTTAGTCCTCCTAATAGTAAAGACAAAACAAAATCAGAACTACATAAATACTAACCCTACATGGAAATGAGAAATACATTTTAATTCCCCTTGTTTAATTAGAAGATATTATAGTTTAAAGACAATGGCTTGCACAAAAATATATTATGTCAATATTTTTATAGTAAAAACATAGTTCAGATATTTACAAGTGATTTACTGAAAAGCACAGAAGGAATACATTCTTGGATATCTCATCTGGGAATGTATTTTCTGGAAAATTTATGAAGAAATATTGACATCAAATTTTTCATTTAATATCCACAGGTCTGTACTATATGAGGAATTTTCACAATAGACTTACATATATAGGATTTCTCCCCAGTGACTTCCGTATAGTTGATAAAAACTGTCTTCACTGAATGCTTTCTGTGCATTGCTTATATACAAAGTGTGAGATCTATGTACATAATATGAGGACTTACTAGCAAATCTTTTGCCACATGGCTCATATGCATAGGGCTTCTCACCTGTGTGAATTCTTTCATGTCTTTGACAATATATGCGTGTAGTGAACGCCTTCCCACATTGTTTGCACACATAAGGTTTCTCTCCTCTGTGACCTTTTTCATGTGTGTTATAAGAACTCTTTCTAGTGAATGCTTTTCCACATTGCTTACACACATAAGGTTTCTCCCCAGTGTGAGTTCTTTCATGTGTTTGACAATATTTGAGTATAGTGAATGCTTTACCACAGTGCTTGCACACATAAGGTTTCTCCCCTGTGTGATTTTTTTCATGTATTTGACAATATCTGCGTGTAGTGAATGCTTTCCCACACTCCTTGCACACATAAGGTTTCTCCCCACTGTGAGTTCTTTCATGTCTTTGACATTCCTTGTGTGTAGGAAATGCCTTCTCACATTGTTTGCAAACATAAGGTTTTTCCCCCGTGTGAATTTTTTCATGTATGTTACAGTAACTCTTTGTAGGAAATGCTTTTCCACATTGCTTGCATACATAAGGTTTCTCCCCTGTGTGACTTTTTTCATGTATGTTATAAGAACTCTTTCTACTGAATGCTTTTCCACAGTCCTTGCACACATAAGGTTTTTCCCCAGTGTGATTTCTTTCATGTATTTGACAAAAACGGTGTGTAGTGAATGCTTTCCCACATTGTTTACATACGTAAGGTTTCTCCCCAGTGTGAGTTCTTTCATGTCTTCGGCAGTGACTGGGTGTGCTGAATGCTTTTCCACATTCCTTACATACATAGGATTTCTCTCCAGTGTGAATTCTTTCATGGCGTTGCCAGGTACTGTGTACACTGAATGCTTTTCCACACTGCTTACATACATAGGGTTTCTCCCCAGTGTGAATTCTTTCATGTGTTTTGCAGGTAATCTGCATAGTGAATGCTTTCCCACATTGCTTGCAAACATAAGGTTTTTCTCCTGTGTGAATTTTTTCATGTATGTTATAATAATTCTTTGTAGTAAATGCTTTTCCACAATGCTTACATACATATAGTTTCTCCCCAGTGTGAATTCTTTCATGTCTTTGACACTTACTGTGTGTACTGAATGCTTTCCCACAGTGCTTACACACATAAGGTTTTTCACCAGTATGTGTTTGTCTATGCCTATGAAATGCAGGCTTATCAACAAATCCTTTTCCACACTGCTTGCATATGTAGGTTTCTTCTTCAATGTGAAATCTTTCATGACTTTCACATGAATTTTGAGTACTGAAAGTCTTCCCACATTGCTTGCATACATATGGGTTCTTACCAGCATAAATACTTTCATGGATCTGAACACCATTAGACGCTTTAACACTTTTTTTAGCTACAATGGTCTTCTCTCCAGGGTGAGTTCTTTTACTACCTTCAGAGCAGGTATTCCCACATTGCTCATATTGACAGCATTTTTCTCCAGTCTTTGTCACTGTGTGATTCAGAAAGGACTGGAAATCATTGCAGCTTTCTCCATGTTTACTACATTTACTCAGTTTGTCATGCAATACCAAATACTCATCTAGTTTCAGGCCAATGTGAGGTAAAATGGGCACATTTTGCAATAAATGTCCTATTAGGGGCCTTCTACAAGCAAGGCTTTCAGCTGGTTGTAAAGCAGCTTGTTGCATGTCCACATTAGCATCTGGAGACTGAAGAAATACGTTTCCATATTGATTCCAAGATTTATATTGATACCATTTTGCTACCTCATTATTACTGTAAAGAAAAGAATAAAAATATCAATCGCAAAAAAAGCTCTCCATATCAATAATTTACCAGGACAGATTTTCATTTGATGACTGCTAAAGTCTTGTGGGAACAAATTGTCTGAATGCCCTGGAGCACAGCTTCAAAGCACCCATTCCCAAAGGACGCTATTCACTTGGGAATTTTAAAAGTTTCATTTAGGTCGGTTGATACATATGTGAATTACACATTGACCATTTTAACACCTTTTTCCCCATCATTCTCCTCTTTTCTCCTTACCCTGTCATTTTTCCCATGTCCAACAAGTCAGCTTTTCTGTTCTCTATCACTTCTTAATTTTATTCCCTATTTTAAATTTTGGTATTTCACATAAAAGAAAACATGCAATAATTCACATTCTGTGTCTGACTTTTTTTTTTTCATTTTGTGATGTGGTGTTTTCTGTTTTTTTTTTTTTTGGCAGAAAGTATGATGTTATTTTTCTTTATGGCTGAATACATAGAACATGTTTTCCCAGTGCTGAGAATTAAACAAGGGTTTTAGCACTAAGTTATATTTCTAGATTTCTTATTTTGAGAGTCCCGATTATTAATTTGGTGAGCATGAAGTTCATTTTGTCATCCTGCTCACTCAACTTACCAGCATGCTGAGATTATAAGAAAGTACCACTATATTGAGCTATCCCACATGTTCTTTATTCATGCATTCCATGGTAGGCACCTAGGCTGTTGGAGAACTTAGGTATTGCGAATTATTTCCAGAACTTAGGTATTGTGAATATCCATGCACATCCTGCTTTGAGCATGCGTATGCATGTACAACTAAGATAAAATAATTTGAAATTGTTTCAGAATATACATAGGGAGCTTTGGCTAGATCATATGCAAACTCATATTTTTACATTTGAGACATCTGTATATTGATTATCAAAATGGTTCTATTTTATATTGCTATCAACAATGTATAAGGCTGCCTTCTAAGAATTTTAAAACATGAATACACCCAATTCACTGGAGGATGTTTTGAAAATATCTACTATTATACTAGCATTAATTTGTCTTTTGAATATTGCTTCCAGGTTAGCAATTTTTTAGATAATGTATGATATATATATATCTAGACATAGAGATATAGATATATACATATATCTTTCTTGAAGATGAGTTTCTGTCAAAGTTCAACATTTATTCATTTCTTATATGGCTATACACAATACCTAAATGCAAATTCATATATTTTCATGATGTTGAAAATGAAAGGAGTTTTTTATACCAATGTATGAGATAGTGTCTCTTGTTGAATTATATCTCTACCAAGTTAGTTTCCTACATTGGAATATTTCTCTATTCAATGTCAGATTATACAAAATCAACCTGTATGTATACCAGGAGAATTTTTGAAAGATTAATTAATGTGAACATAGCCTCATTTGTCAAGTTTCCTTGGTTGTAATATTTCTGTTCACCCAGTGACTCTTAGGCAATAATCCTTTTTTTTGTGAATGCAAATTACCTTAGATTTTTTGAGCAACTTTTGCGTTCTTCTTCAGTTTGCTGGTTGTCCCATGTCCTTCCTGAATTGTAGCCATAGAAATACAAAAGGCACTACATCATTATACAACAATTAGCAGATAGCAGTTAGATTCATGGTATAATGTAAACAGGCTTGACATATTCTTCAAAATGTTTCCACATTATATTTAATACGTCACTATCAGTGAGGAAGAACCAATGCTCTCTGACTGCATAAATGAGAAAACAATGTCAATCTTACCTATAGCAGTCATATTCATAAATGTTTCCAACATCACATCTCTGTAGAGCTTCTTTTGGGATGGATTCAGCAAAGCCCATTCCTCCATGGTAAAGTTCACAGCAACATCTTCCAAGGTCACTGCCTCCTAAATAATCACAGATACAGTTCCTAAAAATAGGTTGAGATTCACACCTTGAGATACCTAAACTCCTCTGTGCTGAACTGAGCTTAATTCCTTCAAATACTAATTCCTTGTCATGGGTCACCAAACTCATGAATACGCACGTATTTTCACACAGCAATTCTGATAGTAGATTGCAACTCAGTGCTCCAGCAACAGCACAACAGTAGCAGTGGTTGCCTGAAAAGGTCACAGAAACTCTATCTGTGCACTGTTTCTAAACCGAGGTGATAGAAGGACCCTCCAAATCGTCATTCACAAAACACACTAGTAGATACTTAGTGAATGGTTGTGATACACAAAAATCTATACCTCTTCAAATCTGACTATTCACAGAATTAAGTCATTTTTTCTTTGACTATACATAGGTAGTTTGAACCTCAACAGAATAAATCTACCAGGCAATGCAAGCAATTAAACAGACAAGGAAAAATGGGAGCCAACCGCAGGAAAATAACATGCCAAGGATAAGTGAGTGCACATCAGTTATAACCATCAATGGTAAAGGTCTCAATTTAGCAATCAAAAGAAACAGACAAGTCAAATGGATTAAAAAGCAAGATCCAACAATATGCTGCATGTGAGAAACACATATATATTCAAAAAGAAATTCCCACATGCAAAGTCAATACTCCATGTGAAAGGAACCCAGAAAACAGCAGGGAGAGCTATTGAGCTTGCAGACAAAGTATATTTCAACTCAAGGCTGATTAAGAGAGACAAAGAAGTTCACTATATCCTTATAAAGGAAACAATACAAGAGGAAGAGATTACAATGATACCTGTATATACACCAAATACCAGTACACCCAGCTATGTAAAACAAATATTAAAGAACATAAAAAAATCTAATAATTACTAATACAATTGTAATGGGGGACACCTCATTATGTTACTGTCACAAATAGACAGAACAACTAGACAAAAAAATCAACAATGAAATATTAGAACTGAACCAAACTTTTGAACAGATGGACTTAGTAGAAATCTATAGAATGTTCCACCCTAGAATATCAGAATACACATTCTTCTCAGCTATACATGGACATTCTTCAAAAGAGACAACACATTAGTTCACAGAACATGCTTAAGTAAATACAAAAGAATTGAAGATATCCCATATATATTGTCAGACTATATTGCAAAGAAACTGGAAATCAATGGCAAAGCAAACCACAAGAACTTCAGGGCCAGAAATTTAGCTCAATAGTGCACCAGCTGCCCAGCAAGTGTGAGGTCCTGATTTTGACTCTCACTAATCCCTCTCCCTCAAAAAACAACTTCAAAAACACATGGAAATTAAATATCACAGATGAAATAAAAGAAAACATTAAACATTTTCTACAATTAAGTGATAATTCCAATATAACATACTGAGACGTGGGACACAATGAAAGCAGTCCTTTGAGGGGAATTTATAGTGGTGAATTCTGACATCCAGGAAAAAGAACAAGCTCACATAACTTACTGTTGAACCTCAGACTTCTGGAAAAAGAAGAGTAAGTCAAGACCAAAGCTCATACATGTGAGAAAATTGTAAAGATCAAAGAAAAAAAATTAATGCAATGCAGACTAAGATAACAATACAAAGAATAAATGAACAAACAGTTGGTTCTTTGAATAATAAAATTAATAAACCCTTATCCAACCTTATAAAAAAAAGACTCAAATCCATGCAGTTAGAAACTAAATGGGTGAAATCACAACAGATCCTGCAGAAACCCAGAATATTATCAATATTTATATTGAGAAGCTATATTCTAACAATATAGAAAATGCAGAAGAAATGTACAGATCCCTACATACATATGAATTACCAAAGCTGAATCAAGAAGATATAAACATTCTAAATAGACCAATATTACTCAATGAAACTGGAGATGCAATTAAAACCTAAGAATAAAGACAAGCTCAGATCCTCATACATTTACTGCTGAATCCTGTAAAAAGTTTAGAGAAGATCTAATGCCACTTATTCTCAAATGCTTAATGAAATTTAAAGGGAAACAATATTTACAAATTTATTCCTGGAAGCATGATACCAAAACCAGAGAAGGAACCAATCAAAGAAGTCAATCTCCCTAATGAATATAGCTACAAATATCCTCAGTAAGACATTGGCAAACAGAATTTAGCAAATCATCAAGAAGATTATATATTATGGCCAAGTGCGATTCTTCCCAGAGATGTATGGATGGTTCAACATACACAAAGCAAAACTATCAATGTAATATACCACATTAACAGAACTGAGGGCAAAAGCCATAGGATTATCTCAATAGTTACATGAAAAACATTTGACAAAGTCAAACACCCACTCATGATAAAAACGTTACAGAAAATTGGAATAGATGGTTTTTATCTCAATTTGATAAAAGTCCTCTCTGATAAATCAACGGCCAACAATGTATTAAATGAACAAAAGCTGAACGCTTTAACTCTAAAATCAGGAACAGGATAAGGATGTCCACTGTTACAACTCTTATTCAAAATAGTTCTGGAAACATTAGAGTCATTAGACGAGAGAAAGAAATAAAAGGAATAATGATAGGAAAGGAAGAAGTCAAATTATCATTATTTGGAGATGACATGATACTTTACATAAAAGAACCCAAAAACTCCACCAAAAGACTTCTAGATTTAACAGCATAAAATTTAGCAGTGTGGCTGGATATAAAGTCAATACTCAATTCAATAGCCTTTCTCTACACAAATAACAAACTCACTGAGAGAGAAATTAGGGAAACAATACTTTTCACAATAGCATCTGGAACAATGAAATACTTAAGAATCAATCTAATGAAGAAAGTAAAAGACTTCTACATTGAAATCTATAGTACTATTAAAAAAGGAGATTGAAGAGGATATTAGAAAATGGAAAACTATGCCTTGTTCTTTGATAGGAAGAATCAACAGTGAAAATTAGCATATTCTCAAAATTGTTGCACAGATTTAATGCAATCCCAATCAAAATTTCAACAGCATATCTCAAAGAATTAGAGAACACAATCCTAAAATTTATAGGATTCTAGCAGAAGAGGGCTAGAAAACCAAAGGCAAATCAAGGCAACCAAGGCAAAGAAGGGGGCATCACAATCTCTGACATGAACTGTATTGTAAAGTTACAGTGACAAAAACAGCATGGTATTTGCAAACAAACAAAAACCAACCAAACAAACAAAAAGCAGACCCGAGGATCAACAGAATAAATTACATGATGCAGAAAAAAACTCCAGACATACTCAGCCACCTGATCTTTGACTCTAGCAAACATGTTCACTGGAAGAAAGATAGCTTTTTTGATAAATGGTACTGGAAAAACTAGCTTTCCACATGCTGAAGATTAAATCTAGACCCATATCTTTTACCATGCACTAAACTAAGATTGAAATGGATCAAAAATCTAAACATTAAAACAGAAACACAAAATCTGCTGGAAGACAGAATAATAGGTAGAACAATTGAAGACACTGGTGTAGGCAAAGACTTTACAGACAAAAACCCAATCACATAGGAACTTGCACAAAGAATCAAAAACCGAGCTCTCATCTTATTAAAAAGGTTTTGCAAGAGAAACAAACTAAAGAGTGCAGAGACATACCACAGTTTGGGAAAAAATTTTTGCCAGCTGTTCTTCAGAAAAAGGACTCCTATGTAGAATATATAAAGAACAAAAAAAAAAAAACAAAAAAAAACTGATGTAGAAATTTAAAGACCCAATCTAAAAATGGGCATCTGAAAGGAACAAACACTTCTGAGGTGAAGAATTAGAAATGGAAAATAAACATATGAAAAAATATTGAACATCACTGGTCATCCAACAGATGCAAATTGAAATAATGCTGAGATTCCTTCTTACTCCAGAAAGAATGTTTATTATTAAGAATTCAACCAATAACGAAAGTTAGCGGGGCTGTGGACAAAAAGGAACCCTTCTGCACTCTTGGTAGGAGTGTAGGCTGGTACAAGCACTGTGAAAATCAGTGTAGAGATTCCTCAAACAAATAGGACTAGAGGTCCCACTGGACCCAGCTATTTCACTTCTTATCTTCCCTAAAGAATTAAAATTATCACACCACAGTAATATACACACACCCATGTTTTTTTTTTTTTTGGTTTCTGGTTTTTCTCCAGTATCGGGAACCGAACTCACGACCTTGCGCTTGCCAGGCAGGCGCTTTGCCGCTGAGCTAAATCCCCAGCCCCGACACCCATGTTTATAGCAGCAGTTTATAATAGCTAAATCTTGGAAACAGCCTAAATGGCCATCTACTGATGAATGGGGAAGAAAAGATGTGTTTTTTTGTTTTCTTATACAATGGTACTACTCAACAATAAGGAAGGATAGAGGCTGGGGATTTAGCTCAGTGGCAAAGCGCCTGCCTGGCAAGCGCGAGGTCATGAATTCAATTCCCAGTACTGGGGGCGGGGGGGATAATGTTGAGACATTTTTGGTAAATGGATGCACCTTGAGACAATACTCTTTAAGTCTTTACGGACTTATTTTAAGTCTGTAAAATAAATGGGACACATATCTGTAAATACCACACTTTCTCTTTGGTATGAGAAATTGAGAGTATAAATAAGGACAAAAATGTATAATAGATATTGTGAATGTTAAAATGGAAAGGGAACTAGGGAGGGGCAAGGGGGAAGGATAGAAGGGAAAAATGAGAAAAGAAAGAAAAAATGAAAATTAAGCTTTTGTAAATAGAGAGGGGAAGTAAGATTAAAGGGAGGGTAAGGGAATGGGAGAAAAATTAAGCTATGATACATAGAGATACAAATTCCCTATGATGAGTATGATCATTATATAGACCTAAAATGTACCAATAAACATGTTATTAAAAATAAATACAATAAAACTATTTCTTGAGTCCACACTTTTATTGACCCATCCACTCATATCTATCAAAAATACTCAGCATTTTAGAATGTCCTCTCTTTTTTGAAAAGTATAACTGCACTAAGATTCACTTCGTTTATGTTATTGATTTGAAGCTCTGTCATAGGACATAAGGCGACAATTTAGAAGCATACTAATGACTTAATTTTGACTTGTCTTTATGGCCTGTCAAACCACAGAAACTAGGAAAAAACACACATAGGTTTTTACATTGGGCCATAGTCTAAGGAGTATCACCCAACAGCCTCTGAGACATTTGAGATCTCAGAGGGGAAAATTCTGTGCTTTGTACACTAACATGCTCAGAAGCTGTGTAACTCTGGTAGCTTCTGGGTAGCACATAACTAACATACAGAAAGACCAAATAATGTTCAAAAGGTGAAATCACAAAAGCAATTTTGTTTCTTCTTATACAGTAGATTTAAACAGTCTTCGCAGTTGATTTGTAAAAAAGGAAAAGAGAACTGACACTGAGTCAATCAGACAAAGAGCTAATTAAATTTTTACAAACCAAAGTCTTCTTCAAAAACCCCTAGCCTATGTTTTAAGCAAAACTTTAGGATTGCATAATACTTAGATGTATAAAGATTTTGAGATCTCCAGAAAGTATATTCAACTTCTGCTCTTTTCTTCCACCATACTCTGAAATATGCACGTAAATTAACTGTTGTCCTTAGTCCTATGATTCAATGAGAAAAGAAGAACAGGAGAGTAGGTTGTGAGGATGTCTCTTTGGTCAGGTTTGGTAAAAGGAGGTTAAACTAGAATACAAGTTTGACTAGCATTAAGATTTAAAGAGTTCTAGTAGAACTGCACAAGCATACCTGTGAATTCAGAATTAAACTTGAGATAACGTCAGAATTCAGTAAAATGATTAGAGACACAGTTCCTTTCTCCAGAGATAAAGAGCTTGTCCTAGGAATAGAAAGAAAGTATAGTACACATGTGCTGGAAGAAGTATTGTGGGTAAAATCAGTGCTATTCATCTGTCTTTGTGTGTGACACATTACTCTGTCCATGCCCACATTAGTCCCAAATCTGGCAATTCACCAGAGTGCAGGCTAAGTACGCCATCACTCAATAACTTTTCTGGGTCTCCACCAAAACCTGTGTTCCTAAGGGTATGTTCTTTAAGCAGCTAGGAAAAACTTTATACAATCAGACATCCGGCCACGAAGTCATACTTAGCCTCACTGCTGCAGACAGATGGTAAATTTCTCATTGTATTCATATAAGCTGGTAGCCTTTCTTTATTGTGTACCAAAAACACCAGTACATATACAATCAAATGATTTCATAAAGATTACCTGCAAGATTGTGTAGCTGTTCACACTGCACCATATTCAAAACCAATAAATTATTCTTGGAAATGTGGACACAGTGTAATATACAAATTTTATCTGAATACATTTAAAAACAGTTGGTCCTCGTATTGCACTTTCTGTCTTTACACTCTTGAGTTTTCTCACTGCTTCCTTTATTTCCCAGAACTTTCTAAGCCAGCCCATGAAAACATGGCTTTTTGGACATACCACTCTTGGAGAATGTACCATAATTCAGGTTCCATAAGCAATAGAAGTAATGGACATATATTACATGGATACATATGAGGACATATGAAAAATTAATGAACTAAAATGTGCTAGTGGAGTGGGTAGTCCACCATAGGAATCCAGATCTCTATCTGAAGACACAAATGTGTCTTTTGTCCCATTTTAGCGCTGTGAAATGGGAAAGTATTAAATTTCTCTATCAGGTAAATCACCAAGAACTACTATGTCAAATACAAGTGGAGCTCATGAGGTCATGAAGATAAAAGAATCTAGCACATAATATGCCCTACACATAAAAACTTCATGCTTTCTAAGTGTATAGTAATAGAGTATAGATACAAGTCTGGAACTTCAAGTGCTTGCAGGCACAATAATTCCAGTAAAGAAAGGCAAATGATCATCTAAGGTTAAAGCAGTAAGTAGGGATCCATATCACCATGAATTAAAACTAGAAATGGAAATTCTTTCCTTCAACCTTGCATAGGCTTGGTATCTTGATTTCTAACTACTCAGCCCTGTGTCTTTTCATTGGAAGTTTCCATTCTATCACCTTGTTCTGGTAATATAATCAAAACAGTATGACCAGAACCAGGCAACTCTTTATAATAATAATAATTTAAAAACCAAAACAAAAACCTCAGAGTATTTTTTCTTTTTCCAAATAGTATTATACTGTTCTCAGAATTGATTGCTCAGGAAGAACTGATTAATATAGCATTCAAAAAAAGAAACAATATGGTGCGAATCATGTGCTACAGAGCACTACATGAAGAGTTGAAGGAATGAGTCTACAGATGCTATGTCACGTGAAAGAAAAAATGTCTTCATCAGCTGAAAATAATTGAAGAGAAAATGTACGGAAAAGGCACAGAATATAAGCAAACATCATGGCTAACCTTGAAAACTTTAAACCGGTTCAACAAATGCCTAGATCTGTACTTGGGCAAATTTATGTAACACAAAGCCAAATTCACTATAAAACACTAAATATCTCATGTATGTTATTGTACACAGGACATTGTAAATCATTGGTTGTTCACATTTTGTGTCCTCTTCCTGATCGTGCAGCGACTTGCTACTGGTCTCTACTGACATGAAGAAGCATTGTACTATGTACCACTAGCATAAAAATAAGTAAATTTCAAAATTAATAGTAAGAAGGGGCTGGGGATTTAGCTCAGCGGCAAAAGCGCCTGCCTGGCAAAGGCAAGGTTGTGAGTTCGGTTTCCGGTACCGGAGAAAAACAAACAAACAAACAAAAACAAAACAAAACAAAAAATTAATAGTAAGATTTGCACTAAATAATTTTTCATTTTCTCTTCATTACTAGAAACTTAACTCATGTACATTAGAGAAGTTAGTTTAGAGTTGAGATACACCTTAAAATATTTATTTCACATTGAAAAAGGATCTTAGTTATTCAAGCAGTGCTTGGTGATTTAATAATCCTAAGCTTCCCAAGTGGTTGATTTTTTTTTTTTTTTTTTTTTTTTTTTTT